ATGGCTGAAGAAATAGAAAATACGGTAGTTTCAGAGCTAAAAAATTGCAAGTTCTCTATTCAACTTGATGAATCTGTTTTTGGTGTTTCTGCTATTCTTATGATGTACGTTAGATATTTCAGTAAAATTAAAGGAGAAGTCATTGATGAATTTTTATTTGCTAAATATCTTGAAACTGATGGAAAGGGAGAGACAATTTTTAAATGTTTACAAGAATATTTAAATAAATATGATATTCCGCTTGAAAATATAATAGCGGTAGCCACAGATGGGGCACCTGCTATGGTAGGCCGTTACCGCGGTTTTGCTACATTTCTCAAAGAAAAAGTGCCCGGTATACGTACTATTCATTGTGTGTTACATAGAAACAACTTAGTAGCGAAATATCTGAGTCCAGAGTTACATAAAGCTTTACAGTTTTGTATTAAGTGTATCAATCAAATTAAAGCCCAACCTCTTAAATCAAGATTATTTTCTAAACTTTGTGAGGAAAATGACGAGTTATTTAACCAATTACTTCTGCACACCGAAGTTAGATGGTTGTCTAGAGGTGTATGCTTGCAAAGGCTCGTTGAGTTATTTGACACCACGACCGAATTTCTCAGCGAAATAAACCCTGTTCTGTGTGACGAACTGCAAAACAATAAGAACCATATTTTTTATTTAGCGGACTTATTTGGAAAATTTAATGAGGAGTAAAATTATAGATAAACATTTTTTCATTGTTATTATCCTTAATAGATAGGGTACCATCTTTCTGAACAGAACGAAAAGCTCTTCTTATTAACTCAACCCAGAAATCAAAGTGTGAGCTTTTTTATTTTGTGAATGTAATGAAACACCCTTATTATGCTTAATTCAATTCAGAGATCAAAGTAATTAACAATTTAAGTATCAGAATACAATCATATTCATGAAAGTTATAAGAATAATTTATTTTAATGAAGATTAAAGTAATCAAATTTGTGTTACAGGTGAAGGAAAACCACGAAAAAGACTTTCAAATTGCTTAATAGTAAAAGGTTTCCAGGTTAATGTTGATTATCGCAATAAAATTATTTCTTAATAATCAATAATTTTTTTTTATCATCTTTGATATATAGCATATCTAAGTAAATGCTGTGAAATGCTCTAAAATTTTTTTTGTACTTTCTTGAATTTTTGTACGCAACCCAGATATCAAAGTTACTTGCAATTTAAATACAGTAATGAAATTATATTTTGAAAGACTTTTTGAATGAAATAATTAGAATTTACATTACGCACAAATGATAACCATGAAAAAGTTTTAATAACTAACTAACTGAACGCTAACAGGCAATTTCGAGACTCTATCTCAGCAATTATTACATTTTCCAATTTATTGTTCTTCATGAATTTAAACGTGTTGGGCAGCTTAGATTGCTTATAAAACTGTTCTTTATTTTATTTTAATTATTCATTTATTTTTTAGTTATTTATATATTTTTTATATATTTTTAATAAGCACTTGAATTGTTTTTTTAATATTTATTTCAAGTATTTGAATTTCAGAACAATATAAAAGTCAATTTTTTAAAATACATTATTTTTTTTCATTTAAAATTTACAAATTATAAATCTTTAAAAAAAATGTGTTCAGATTTTTTTAGCACAGAGACAGAATGTTATTATTTATCATAACAAATTATGAAAATAAAATAAAAAAAATAGAGACCGGTGATGTTCCCAGTATCAAAGTTCACCCTGACATCTGTTTGGTATAGTGATTGATCTTTATGTCTTTGTTTGAGTATACACAAGCAAAGGAGGGGATACAAGCCTCTATATTCATTGTCTACGAAGCACTTCGATTGGTGAGAATAAATTACCAAACTGAGCACGCGCATTATTAAAATCGCGCCAAACAAAAATGCTAAACATACCATTCTAATAAACCTGACAAAACGATTAAGCGATAAAGAAGAAAACGATGGTGTAATCGACCAATCAAATGATTCTATTTATTAAAAAGTCGGTCAGCCAAGCAACAGTCAACTCCAGCCAGAGCCTTATTAATGGGATCAGAAAGCTATAAGCTTAAGCAAAGATCTCGTCTCACTATACTACACCCATGCATTTGTCAATCCTTCATTTGAAACAATCCGAACCTTCATGTTCCGAACCGTGTTAGGAAATCTGAATCAGGAAAAATGTGCTCGAAATAATTTGTGCATCATGTTAAATAGCAAATCTTGCTTTAATATGTGCGAAATATATTAATTGATTTTAGTTTGTGTGCTCTAAAATACTTCCACAATGTTTGTCGAAAAGACATCGGCAAGGAATGGAGAAATATAATTATAGGCATTAAATAGAGGACCTCGGTTGAATCGCGCCATGGCGAATCTAGTGGGCGTCACAGATGACGATACGGAAATATCCCTTAAGAGTTATCTGACTAAGTATAGTTGTGTTCATACAAGAGTGAAATCTTATTCTTGTAGTATATATAACAAGAGTTTTCCACAAGGAATTCATCTGACTATACACCTTCCTGTTCACATTGGTGAGGAACGTTTTTCCTGTCGTATATGTTATAAGACTTTTCCCCATAGAAGTAATCTGACTAGTGACTACACACGGTTATGTTCATACTGCTGAGAAACCTTACTCTTGTAGTTCATGTAATAAAAGTTTTTCTCGAAAAAGTAATCTAACTAAACACAATTGTGTTCACACTGGTGAGAAACCTAATTCTAATATATAATAAGAGTTTTTTCATGCAAAAGTCATCTGACTAAGAAGAGTTGTGTTCACACTGTTGAGATACCTTATTCTTGCTGTTTATGTAATATGAGTTTTTCACTACAAAGTCATCTAACTGAACAGGTTCTTGCTCACATTAGTGAGAAACCTTATTCTTGTAGTATATGCAACAAGAGTTTTTCGCAAAACAGTTATCTAATTGAACACAGTCGTGTTCACTCTGGTGAGAAACCTTATTCTTGTAGTATATGCAACAAGAGTTTTTCACAAAGAAATCATGTGACTAAACACAATCGTGTTCACACTGGTGAGAAACCTTATTCTTGTAGTATATGCAACAGGAGGTTTTCGCTTAAAAGTCATCTGACTAATCACAGTCGTGTTCACACTGGTGAGAAACCTTATTCTTGTAGTATATGCAACAAGAGTTATTCGCAAAGCAGTCATCTAATTGAACACAGTCGTGTTCACTCTGGTGAGAAACCTTATTCTTGTAGTATATGCAACAAGAGTTTTTCACAAAGAAATCATGTGACTAAACACAGTCGTGTTCACACTGGTGAGAAACCTTATTCTTGTAGTATATGCAACAAGAGGTTTTTGCTTAAAAGTCATCTGACTGATCACTTTCGTGTTCACACTGGTGAGAAACCTTATTCTTGTAGTATATGCAACAAAAGTTTTTCTAAAAAAAGTCATCTAACTGAACACAGTCGTGTACATACTGGTGAGAAACCTTATTCTTGTAGTATATGCAACAAGAGTTATTTGAAAAAATGTCATCTGACTGATCACAGTCGTGTTCACACTGGTGAGAAACCTTATTCTTGTAGTATATGCAACAAGAGTTTTTCGCAAAGAATTAATCTGAATAATCACAGTCGTGTTCACTCTGGTGAGAAACCTTATTCTTGTAGTATATGCAATAAGAGTTTTTCGCAAAAAAGTAATCTGACTAAACACAGTCATGTTCACACTGGTTAGAAACATGGGTTTTTCAGAGTTTTTCATGCAAAAGTTATCTGACTAAGCACAGCATTGTTCATACTAGTGAGAAACCTGATTCTTGTAGTTAATTCTGAACCCCGTATTCACCGTTGACACTGACCTTGCGCGAAACCCCGGTTTCGAAATGTTGACCACGATTCAAAAATTGTATTTTTCATTCTTTTTGGAGACTCTGTTTCTTAACTGGGGGTTTCTTAACTCACTGTTAACTTGCACTCCGTGTTGGATTTACAGCTTTATTAACTGTGATTGCTTTCAATTTTCTCTGCTATTTTTAAGTCAATTTTTCTATGAAAGAATTAAAATTAGAATAGATTGCATTGAGTAATTAAATTTGAATCACTCTTTTACTGGACAAATGAAAAAGATGTTAAGTTTCGTTTATCTAACTGAGTTGCATAAATGAGCAAAAGGAACTAAGTATTATAATTATGAATTTAGATATTTTATTATTATGGATATTACAAAGCTGCACACAAACATAGAAATATTACTAAAATTCAATTAAAAATACTTTTATTTTAAACAATTTTCAAGAGGATTATGCTACATCATTCCTATGCTTATTCAAATTTTTAATAGTTAACATATTATTAATAACATAACTTATTATCAATAACTTAAACCATTGAGAAAAATTTTCCTTTTTTCTAAAAACTTAAAATGAAATTGTATGAAATAAACTTCTCATCTCAGATAAGCATAAATCAATACATTCCTATTGTTCAAAATAAGCTAGAAATGATTATTATTATACTGCCTCTGCCGAAGATGGAGAAAATTACCGTCAGAGATATGATGAATAATATAACAATTATTTTAAAAGCAAATGTCATAATATGAACAAATATTCCAAAACTTTTAAAAAAATCATCAATTTAAAAGTTTTATTATTTAAATAATTGTAAATAATAATATATCAGTTGTATATGCACCAGATGTCATAAAGTAGACACGCCTTATTTTTAAAAAAATGTTAATTAAAGATGGCATTTTAACTTCATATAATATTAAGCAATCAATCTCTCCCAAATGATTCTATTCTTTCCAAATACTCAGCTGATTGTTTGATAGTTATAAAATTCTAAATGGTTATTAAAGTTATTTGATGCAGATTATTGTGTAGTTAAAATGTTACCTCACATCAAGATTTGTATTGATTACGTAATATTTATTTCGGCATAATTTTTAGTGATGTAACGAATAATGATGGGGCCGAATAGTCGAATACCGAATATTCGGTGACCGAATAGTCGAATACCGAATATTCGGTGGCCGAATACTTACTTTTTAAAAATTTCTCTTCTGATTGTACTTTTGTAATTAAAGTAATTTTCAAATTTTAAATTAAAAATGAAATAAATATTAACAAAATTCCTTTTTTGATCATTGTATATTTAAAAATTTTTTAACAACTTGATTTATTTTTTGTAATAATTTAAATATCTTGATGCCAATACCAAGGCAATATGGCTTTTATAAATCTAAATAATTAATAATAGCATATTTTAGTTATAGTTATACTTGTAATTTACATGCTATTTTATTTAAAATAACTCATTACTACTGTTAAATGTATTCTTAACTTTCTTTTTTGTCCGAAAAATTAGTAAAACCCAGAAAATTAAGAACTTCTTAAAGAGTTTCACTTTTGAAATTTTAATTTTGTAATTAAATAATTTTCAAATCTTAAATTAAAAGTGAATTAAATATTAACAAATTTGCTTTTTTAAACTTTCTATATTTTAAAAAAAACTTAACAACTTGATGTATTTTTTGTAATATTTTAAATATCTAAATAATGATCTAAAATATCTAATATGAGTAAATGTTAGATTTTCTAATAATTAATGCAGTGGAATGTAACTCGGCAATATTCGTGATTAAATATATTTAAAAGCACATTTAAAAAAATATCTTCCTTTATTATTATGAATTTATTCAGCCAAATATCTAATAATATTCATATTCAGCCGAATAACCTCAGTATTCGGCTAGGCCGAATATTCGTTACATCCCTTATTAATTTTTATTATATATTTTAAATAATGTTATTGTTATATATTAAAAATAAAGTAAAATAATGTTTTTAATTTTATTAATAGTTTTGTTTTATGTATAAAAAATTTTAAAATGTCATTCGCTATCTTCATATCTAAATATTGCAAATTATTTTGCCTGTTCTTCTCTATACTATATTTTATTTTTGGGCAAGATCTATCATCTGAATGTACATCATTCGGATCTATAATAATTTTATGAATTGTATTCTCTTTCAAATTTTATATTTCTTTGAAGCATCGGTTGTTGTTTTTTTCATTGAAAAGAAATAAATAAAAGCTAATTAAATTATTTAGAATCTTATTACTTACACTATTCATTTGAATTATTATTATGGACGCAATCTGAATTATCTATGTTTTTTTTTTTCGATTGAAAAATTATTTAAGTGCAGGAAGGACTGCTAATAATAATTTGAGAAATATACATAATATATTCTAGCGAAGATATTAACCCAGGAAAATTTAGTTTTCATTTTATTAATAAGCATTTATTTGATATAAATTAATCATAGTTACATCTAGAAATAAATTGTGCTCACTGAACATCGAACGTGTTAATTTTGAAACATAAAAAAATAAAAATTGGCCTAATACGCACCTGCGGTTACTCGAACCGAGGAAATCTTCAGATTTAATTTAGTTAACTCTGGGACCAACTGACATGCAGTTACGTACATGGCGAAAAGAAATTTTGGAATCTTACCTGGCTTTACTCTCATAAAACCTGTGGGTTAGTTTCCATAGTGAATACGGTGTCAAGGAAAATCTCTGTTCAGGATTTCTATGCTTAATGTTTTGTTCATACTGCTGACTAACTTTGTTCTTTTTGTAAGTTTATACAGATAATTTTTAAATGACCTGTTGACAATAATTTTCATTTTAGTTATTAATCTCATTGTGTAACTTTATTTAACAATTTTTATAGAAAAGTATTTTAACTGTCTAGTCCTGAGCTTTTAATATCAAATCTGTTTGTGAAGAAGAAGAATATTTTTTTCCTTTTAATTCATTTGGGCGGAACTGGTGTAAGACATTCAATATCATGAGACTTAGAAATAGGGACTTTACTGTTACTTTACTATAATTGGCTGACTGTTAAGTTTTTTTACTACAACATTCTGTTTGACAGCAAACTGTAGTATAAATTTTCAGAATAATGCTTGCATATTATACTATCAAAATAAATAATTTTTTATAAAAATTATTTTTAACAAATTTTATCTGTATTTGATGCAATTTAAAATTGTCTAACATAAAAGTTATATCTTCTTATCAGAACGTTTTATACAATATCTTAAAACTGTAATTAGAATTCATTTTTTAATGTTTTTGAAATGAATTAAGAAATAAATGATTTGCAATAAATAAAATATCGGAATCAATAATACATTATATAGTTTTAAGCAGATAAAATTATATTCTATCATTTTTTTTATTTTAAAATCCATATTAAGGAAATGTAGAATTGAACAGAATCTAGCAAAAAATAGCCATGACTATATACAATATCATAGCAATAGGCTATAAGTAGGATATGACATTTCTTATATTTTTTTTAAAAAAGTGTGTCCAATTTTAAATTTATTTTGTCCAATAATCCGGAGTTCTACATTTTAAAGACTAAAATTTGATGACTGGTAAAGATCTTTAAAGTGTTAACCATACTATTTTTAGTTTCTTGTTATATTATTAAAACATAATTATATGCTCATTTATATATTGACTTAAGAACATAAAATTTAGTAATTGGGAATACTTGCTTCAGTGTTAAATAATAACTTAGGGTTTCTTATAATTTTCTGAATCAACTCAACTTATACCCACAAACACTAAATGTATGAGGTAAAATTTAGTGAAGTGCTATGATGCGCAATGATTGTTGTAAATGCGGGGATTCTCATGAGTAGGAAATAAATGGCAAAAAAAAAAAATTTAAGAATTCTCTTTAACACTGTAACAGTTATATCATTACAGGGTTTTCTTAATTGAAATTGGAAGAAATACTCTTAAAAAGTTTATTTGGTAACATAGCTTTTAATGAATATCTTATGTTTCAAAATTTTAAATTTAGCAAAGTCATTAGTAGAGCCCGGATTTTGATGACCTAAAAAATCTCAATTAATGCCTTTAAAAAGTGCAAAAAATGCCTTAAAATGCGAAAATTGCGCTAAAAATGCCTTAAGACATGAATAATATTGAGTACAAATATTGAACTAAAACAATGTTATACACTTTAAAATTATTATGAGTCGTTTCAAAAAATATAAAGCAATGCAATACTTGTTCTACGTCCATTAAAGTTTGAAAAATATGTTTTATATCCTAAAATAACAAAAAGAAAAAAAAATATATTGACACCAAAACATTTTCATTTTGTATAGAAACTTAAATGAATATAACATCTTCCATCTCATAATATTACTAAATATCAGAATTATAGTGGATTATTAAATTTGTTTTTAATATTTTGAAATGCAAACGAACGTCTCTTGTCTGAAAGCAAATTTTTATACCAGGAGAAGCTTCTCTTACGAAAATTTAAGGTTGATTTGAGGTATCAAGGTTGATTTTAGGTATATTTAAGGTTGCTGAGAAAACAGCAATAAAAATTATACCTCGTAAAACTTGTAATTAAGGTGTACGAGGTTTTTTTATATATACTTCAGCTTATTTTGAGGTGGTTTAAAATCAACTTCAAATCAACCAGGCTAATTTTCAAGGTATACTAGGCTGATTTTCTGACACTTGTAACAAAA